TTAGGGTTAGGGTTAGGGAGTACGTAGGCGTATAGGCGGCTCCCTAGACTCGTTAGTGGAGTAGGCGAGGTACGGTCTGGCATATTAGATAGTACCAGGGTACGTTCCGGTATACCGGACCGTACCCAGGGTACGTTCCGGCAGTACACTGGGGGACATAGACCCTCTCAGCGTTACTATAGACGTATAGTATAGAGCTAGGATTAAGGTAGCCACAAGTTCCCATCTCGCTTAACACTACGTGGCCGTGTAACTAGTCGGAGAGCCTGGTCGGTTTAGGATTAAGGAAGCCATCTCAGCATCTAGATTCGCAAGACCCCGAACATCAACCGTGACGAGGTCGACGATACAGACTCAGTTATATGTGGACCAAACTGTTGACCACTACACCATATGGTGGTCAAATCTGATAACTTCAATCAGCTTTGAGAAAGCCTCCTGATAGTGATACAGTGATACTGATAGTGATAGGAGGTTAAAGTTAAACGTCAGCGGTACGTTTTGATCCAGACGGTTGAGTAAAAATTAACCAAGATAGCTCAATTTTAGACAATATCAGGCGCTTCTAACGTTAATTTGTTTTGCGTATGCAACATACTATAAATTGTCTTTTCCTCAGGTAATACATAACTGTCGACTGAATTTCGTCTTTCCTAATTCTTTTCATTGTTGTATCTTCATAATTTACTGCTGCCGCATCTTGCCATGTTTGTGGACCCTGGCGCCACCTTGAAATAGAAGGGGATGGACACTTGTTTTCGTCATGGAGCGTGTTGTTGTTTGTTCGTTTTATGTGGCTGTTGTTTGTTAAACGTTTTAGTCGATGTTACGTGTAAAAGTCGTGACGAACAAGTTTAGTTAGAATACACGCGATGTCTCCAAATTAGTCTATTATGTCTTCGTGTACGCTATGACCAACTTGAAGGCCAGTGGTAAGTAATAATTACGTGCTGTTTAGGCTTACAGTACAGGCTACACGGCTACAGTTTAGCTCATTAATGCCATTTATATCATGATCAGCATCTGTCAGACTGTCGGTAAAGGATAGGCCTAGGCAAGTTGCTGTGAAATAGATTATTACTAATTATAATATTAGATATCACATAAAACATAAATAGTCACATCAATAGGTGTGTATATATATATGAATATGATATTTATGTGTCTATCAGTATAACCTGTCCTTGGCGGTACGTACCGGTACTCCATTGCTTTGCATTACCTGTGCCTGGAGACGGTGGCCTGGCGCCAGTACTAGTGGGGGTGATGTACTGATCGACGATAAAAAAGGCGAGAACTGCTGTAGTGCTAGCCACAAGTTACCTTCTCGCTTCTTACTACGCGACGAGAAGGTCGCAAGCGAATGTAGTGACCAAATCTGGTAGCTAACAAAGCACTGCCAGCCCTCGACACTAAGTAACGGTTGTCCGATTGCCCAGGACAAGTGAAAGTCTATGTCAGACAAGTTATTCTCTTGGCTAGTTGCCTGATCGGACAACTAAAAAATTTAAAGTTTTGATAATGGAGAAATTTAAACAAGGCGGCAATTAGTACGTATGAATTCTGCATGATTTTCGTGGACTCTTGGCAGTTATTATCACCACTGCGATGGCTCAATGGTTGAGTGCTCGCCTCGTATGTGGAAGGTCGGGGGTTCAACTCCCGGCCGGGTCATACCAAAGACTTGAAAAATGGTACACACAGCTTCTCTGCTTAGCATTCAGCAAATAGAGATAGAGTGTGGCAAGTTAACTCGCAGTGCTACAGTGGACTAATCCCCCCCTACTGTAGCATTTACTGTGAAAGCAGCTGCGGGGCCTCAGGGTTACAGAAACAGAGATAGGCACCGCCCTATGCGCCTGTAGCTATACTCTATGCGTATGAAGGCGCGGGAAGGATTTAACTTGGCAGTCTTGCATTATTTCTCGCGCATGCGCAGCAATGGCACCTGTAGTTTGCCAACTTCAAAAATAATTCCTTTTTAAACTGTCTGATTATGAATTTATGAATACCGAGGCCAATACAAGTTAAGATTAAGAAGTGTCATGAGTGAGAATAAAATTGCAACAGATAACAAGCGAGGTCACATGGGGTAGTATGATTGTTTTATTCATAAAATTCGGCGTTTGTTGTCAAGTTACAAGGTTTTGTGTATGGAAGGGTCTATAAGTGTAATTAAGCAAATATAAAGGTGGTGTGGCTTGGATCAACCAATGAAAAGACTAACTTTTGAAATAATCGTACTGTTTGCAGTTTTTAACCCTAAACCTAATCTAACCCTCATGGCTAACCCTAGTGTTAACTCTAACCTATATTTATCTGTAACTATAGCCATAAGTTAAGGTGGCTTGTAAACAAGTTCAACAAAGAATTGTAAGAATTTCATCTTTAAGCAAATTTTTTTTTTACAAATCAGATCATGCACAATTAAAGCAGGCAGAGTTGTTTGTCTTGTTCTTTCTCTTTTTTCTGAATAAAAACGACCAGGTAAGGTAACCCATCTAACCAGTAAGGGGTTTAATGTGCCAGGTTGCAATTGTCAATAGGCAGGGCTTCCTCTGGATGTTTTTAAAGTTTGAGCAAAGACTTGGCAAAGCCACCAAAGTTATATTTTAGCCACCAATGAAAAACTATAGCCACTGTTCACTTTATCGTATGTGTTAAGCAAGGCATAAACAGGTGATCGGTATCGGAAAAGAGGTGTACGAAAACATTTTACGACACAGCACTGCAATTTGACAATTTCATGATTCAATTTCAATCGTAATTTTGTGAGCAGTTAAATCTTTTGTGAATTCAATTGTATTCACCACTTCACGTAGTAAAGTCGCCACTGTTATATTATTTATTGCATTTTGTGGAGGTGGCGAATGCCAGCGGTAGCCCTGACTTTTAGAATTACCCATGGGGGCCCAGTTAAACGTTTTTTTAAATTTGTATTAAATGTGTTTTGGCGAAAATAGAAATTTAAACTGATATTTTCCAGAGGTCTTGAAAGTCCTGTAAAATAGGCTATCGTTCTGGAAAGTCGTCACTTGAACACTGCAGTGTCTACTGCGTCTGCATTTTACGAATGAGAATAACGTTTTAATAACAGTTTTTAAGCATAGTTCTCACCCTGTTTGCTGTCTGAGAGGCAATAATACATGCTCGAGGCAAGAGTTTGTACACTAATCATTAATTGGAAGAAGGTGGCGAATGCCAGCGGTAACCCTAAATAGGGACACAGGGCTTCTGGTTTTAACATTAATATTATATGTCAATGACCTAGTTTTGTGAAGCTTCGATCATTAATTACATGTACTGCTTCCATGACTTTTGTGATTTAGCTAGAGAATCAGCAGAGCCAATCATACTAAATGGCACATGCTTTCCTGATACTAGTGTGTGCGTGAGTGCGTGCATGCGTGCGTACTTTTAAAAACGTACCATTGACTTCTAATGGTGATTGTACTGAAGTCCAAATTACACAAATATTAGTAATAAATTATTTTCAATATGATTTAGAAGTTAATTCCTTCCATTTCTCATATATCATGTAATGCAGGCAAGCTCATCTTATGAGACCAATTTATAAGCGAGTGGAAACATGGGTAGAATTTTTAACTATTTAAACATCAAACATTAGGGTATAATTTAAAACTTGTCTATATGATTTATAAAATAATAGGCTAACTATCAATTGATTGTAATATCATGCTGCTCCATATGCTTTATATTTTTTGCTCAAACACGAAGTCAGTGTGTGGCATAATCGCATTTCCTATGTATCTGAACAATGCAGTACTTACAGTTGATTCAGACTCATTACCATATATATAGTGTTTCATTGATTTACCGTTAGACTTTGCAGTTAAAAAACGGGCAACATTAGCTAAATTTTTAGTCTTTCATAACATGAATTGGCAGGATGGCAATTTCCATGAGGTAGCTGTAGCATGTAATTTAGTCCTAGTTAGTTTATTTGCAACACCAATCGAAGAACAAGCCCATGGCTGTGATGAGTGCCTCGTGAAGTACAGTGTAACCCTTTTTGCATATATACACTTTTCAAGTGCAACACACGCTCATTATTACTTGCCTGAGCTATGGCTGAGCATTTTCATGCATATTTTAGTTAGCGGCAGGTTAGGTAATTAAAATCGATGAGAGTTAATTTGGGCACACAACTAAATTATAAACACGACTGGCAGTACCTGGTGTTTAATTGTTCATATGCACATTGCAGGATAATGTTTTTGGCATGTTAAAGGGATAGTAGACTCTAGGATTTTACTGCATACAACTGTACTTACTGTATAACAAATCATCTATACCCACACGTATTTGTTACCAGATACCTAATTTAATTGTGATAATTAATTACACATCAACGCTACGAAATTTGAACGGCGCCATGACACCCGCAACCGTGCTGCCACCCTGGAAAAGTTGCGCATTTGCCAATTTATTTTGCACGTTACAGACTGATGGCTAATCACAAAGGTGCAATTATATTCATACCTAAATGCTATTTAATCGAACGATGTTCATTTTAGGACAAATTTATCCATAATATAACTAAAACTATATGTCGTTTATAAGATACAATCCCTTTGCTTTTAAATTAATAAATAAGAAACACCCTCGGTCTGTAGCCCTTGGCTGAAAAGTGGTTTTGCGCAACTTATCAGATCGTGAGCTTTTAGTGGCGCCACCGTCGTTGTAATCAAACTGTAGTCGTTAGTTTTAAAACATTTTCTAATAATATTTCTAATGGTGATTGAACCATGAAACTTTTTATGTAGCGTAATTTTAACCTAGATTAACTAAAAATAACCCTAGAACCTAGAGTAAACGATCCCTTTAAGTGAATATTGATTTAATCGTCAGTAACAATATATATGGTTTCATCAGAAAGTTATTATTGTAATGGAATTGGTTTTCAGCACTTACAATTTGACAGTAATCATTGCAATAAAGCTATCAAATTTCATCCGTCTCATCCAAGATTAGGCCGTCCAAAAGACGGGTAGACAGGTCTCTGGCTAACACACTGCATACAGTCATTTCATTATAATTATGTATTATGTTATTGTTGCATACAGGTTATTACAGCAATTCGTGTTTATTATCTAGAGTATGTTGTATGGGTTTAAACCCTACTGACAACATGAATGCATTTCAAGCAAAGATTGATATGCAGCGTTTTATCAGGGTGCTAAATGCTAATGTGTAGGCCATTTCTTTATAGTAAATTATACTGTGCTATATATGCAGTGTGAACTACTGTTAGGTGAAGCATTCCAGCAGCAGATTTTGTGACTCGGTAGCAAAATGTAATGTCGGCTGCATTATATATGTTCCAAAGGAGAATTCTCTCTAAACGTACATTTATGTATTTCAACCGGTAACTAAGTACTTCCGATTTTCAATTTCTCACACCAATCAATTTTAGTGCGTTCACATTCATGCCAGAATGCGAGCAGTCTGTCGTATGGCTGTGTGGTGTACGTACTGAGTTTATAACAGCAAAGTCTACATTTATCCTGACTTAGGCCAAAACAAAATATAGGTGTGGTTACGGTTTCCCGACCGACCCTATTTATTCCCAGCGACCCTAAACATTTTATTCAGTTTTCTTTTTTTAATTAAACATTTTTTCAGTTCCTGCTTCAAAAGGCACAACGCACATCCTTCGGACATGGTTCGTAAATGAAATATTTCAAGAAAATAAAATGTTTTCCCTACCTACCTAGTACCTACCCTATTTTTCCTGGCATGTAACGGTAACCACACATATATTTTTTTTTGGCCTTACAAACATGCACTTAACTTGCAGGTAATGGCTATTAACACCCACCACTTCTGTACAGTACTGTCGATAAAAATCGCCACGTGTGCGGCACCCGTCGACAATAGACTCGTTCACACGAGACCTCGTATTTATGAAATACGGTATTTGCGAAATACCGAATCTGAGACAAATACGCAGCCGAGCGTTCACACGCTGATTCGCGGCTCCAGAAATGCCGTATTTGCGAGCTGCGAGCTGCTTTAAACAATCAAGCTGAACAATGCGAAATAAACAATGCAATGCGCACCAACTGCCGATAAAGTACGTAGACTGGTCCGCGCTCGACAGTTCCACTCGCGTTACACTGGAACTGTCTAGCGCGGACCAGTCTATAAAATACGCGGCTTCAGAAATACGGTATTTAGCGTTCACACGAAGAAATGCGCGGTCCAAGAGATCCGGTATTTCTCAAGCACGGCAAATTATTCGGGGTCTGGGAAGCCGCGTATTTACATCAAATACCGGATTTGTTTAGATACCGTATTTCTTGGACTGCGCATTTTGCCTCGTGTGAACGTTAAATACCGGATTTCTTGCTACGTGTGAACGCGGCTAATGCAACCATCTGTCAGCAACATACCACTGTATGAACTGTATGTGACCTGTTCAAACCACACCACCGGCGCTGCCATATTTGATCACGTGCTTCAAATCATGCATTTGATTGGTTAATCCAAAAACTGTTGCCTGAATCCGTCGCCTGGTCAGCGCACACGTAGCGATTGTTCAGCGACTTGGCAACAAATATCAAACGTGTTTGATATTCCAGCGACGAGTTTCTGGCGTCAAAATCGCCGACGCCGTGCAAGCGCACGTGGCGATTTCTCGGCGATTTTGTTCCCCGCCAGTACTGCCAATAAAAATCGCCACGTGTGCGCCAGGCTTAAACACAAAGTACAAAGGGCTTAGACAGCAAGTACGTGTCCGCATGCACAGCCATATTTGTTTACAATCGAATATAAGAGATTCTTGGGTCTTATTTACGTTTCGACATGACAATAGTTGGTGCTTTGCAAAAATTGATAATGAAATAACATAATAAATTAATGATGTAATGATAATGATATAAACATATATGGAGTTTAGTGTTGCTTGGGTTATATCAATGGGATCGTGGTTATATATAATTTTCTCACGCGCAGTTCCAAAATGACATTCACCACACGTCTACGTGGGCGTAGGGCTGAATGGTAGTGCCCATTTCTTTTCATTCATTCAAATGATTCAGTAATAGTTGCAAAGGCTTAACCAACCCTTTAATGCTCTTTTGGTAATGGTCTCCACAGCACAATAACGAGTATATCGACATGACCCCATTTTGATTTGCGTGCTACCCAGTCGCACTGCTATGCATGTTCTTCCTGTGTGACGACTTCCTGTTCCACGGGCTAGGGTTTCACGAGTTGAAGGCTGCATGGGGGTGGGGGGTCGAATGGCTTGGGCCGAAGGTGTGACGTTTGTTCCTTCGCGTGCAGTCGGTTATTTCGACGTGAAGCCGATTGTTCGAGTAGAAATGGCATTATAACTGCACGCGTGGGTTTTCAACCGTCTGCGAAAGCTAAGGAAACAGCTGAATGCAGCTACAGCACTATATATATACTTATGCGAAATGTATCGACTGTGATTTTAGCAAACTTGATCGCATCGCTTTTGAACATGGCTATGTAACAACAGGCATGCGGATTTCTGATGTATATTTCCTGGAATATATGATCTGAAATGATAACTTTAAAGTCAAAATTAAAAACACGTCAATACGCACGTATATCGCATGCAAAAACAATTATAGTTAATTGTTATGTGCGTTTAATAGACATCGGCGGGTTGTCATTGCATACATCAGCAGCAACAACAACAACAACAACAACAACAACAACAACAACAACAACAACAACAACAACAACAACAACAACACGCAAGTAATATTGTTTGAGTGGGGAGAATAATGCTTTCGCGTGGATCATGCGGGTAGCTTGGACTCTCCTCCGTGATTCGTCACGACGTACGATCCATCATGCTGTACGTCCGCGTTTCGTGAGCTGTATGTCATTTAGCATCAGGCGTTTTGCCTGTAATCGCACCAAGCTAGTATCCGTGCGTCCACTCTGTGCCGGGTTATTATTTATGATTTACGCACGTGAGACTCAGAGTTTTATGATTTTTGCGAAAGGCGCTGAAGTCGGACAGCTCTTTTAACAGCTTCCGTTTGGAACTTGTTTGTCATTTCGCCCTCCAAGATTGATGTAAGTTTTCAGATTTTTGACGGAATTCCGATTTTCTGATATTTTCAGTAAAGATTTCGATTCTGTGAGATGGCCTGAAATTGCACCCAAGGATACTGAAAATTCCAAAACGTCTCTATGTCGAGCACCCCCGCCTATGCAAGGACATGCCAGGTGCCCTTCTGGGTGCCATTCGCCATGTCGGAGTGTCTACTATTTTCCTATTTTTTGGGCAAATACCACTTACATCTCCGTCCATGACACTTCTATTTATTTAGATTCAGTTGTTTTAATTTCATTAGAATTGTCTATTAACTTGTTTAACTAACATGCTGCCTCCAAAATGTAATTCATAAAGTACATAATCATAAGTGTACATAAAGTAAATTTGAATTGAATTGTATTGGACATTGCGTAAATCCGGCGCCCTGGAGTCACGGGGAACACGTTTAGCTCCCAGTAATCCCGAGTTTTTCGTGTTATCAGAGCTCTGCATCAAGTTCTCTACCGAGCAGCAGCTGAGTAAAATGAGCATCACTCAGACGTGGTGGATGAATCAGGTCACGGTTCTCACAACAAACGCGAGTTGCGTCATTGGAAAACTTGACACGGAAGGTGGACAGACGATCGGCGTAATATCCCTCGCGTTGCCCTACTCTGGTTCTGCCCCGGATGTGTGCGCATCGTAGACAGGGTCCCGCACGCGCGATACTCAGCTCGACTGACGCGGCAGGACGCGAGCGCGGTGCAGCGGTTACAGTCTAGCTGGAGCATACCAGTAAAATCGAGAGTGAGTGCCAGGGGGCATGCATCGTAAACGGCGCATCCTCGTTGGCAGCCGGCAGCGAAGGAGTAGCCAAAGAGAGAGAGAGAGTGTGTTAGCGCTTGGCTGCGGGGATGTATATATGTATGTATCTGGATTATCGTCGCAGCAGTGAAGGTGAGCAGGCGGCAGGGTGCAGGCAGATGCTGCGTGTCTGTTGTACAGAACTACGTGGATGAGGCGGGGGAGGCGGGGGCGCTTTCTATCTACGCGGGCGCATGCGTCAGCTCGCGTGTAGGTGTTTCCGGCAGATTGATATCTCCAGGAGTTAATAATGACAAACTCCTGATATCTCGCGTCGTTTGGATCAAGTGAGTTTATATAGCGAAATCCGCGCTTGGCGTGTTCGTGTAGTAAATCATCTCTCAGTCTCTCAGTCAGATCAGCAGCTCTCTGTCTCTTTCTCTCTCTCCGTGTGTGTTGTGCTGAGCGATGCTGAATGCTGTTCAATGTTGCGTAACACGGAGGTGAACGTAAGGCGAGGCATAGCAGCGCCCAGCTGGACATGTGTGTGTCGCACGAGCTCCCGTCTGATGTGACGTTTATACCTGCTCACGGGCACCCACGTCGCGACGACTCGAGTATGCGATCGGATTTCAGTTGACATTTCGGTGAGTGCGTATACGCGTAGGTCTGCGTGCGTGCCTGTGCGTCAGTGCGTACGTGGCTGCGTGCGTGCCTGTGCGTCAGTGCGTACGTGGCTGTGTGCGTGTGTGTGTGTGCATGTGTGTGTCTATATACCCAATCTTGACCCAATGTATTATAGGGCTAGCAGGGGTACCCGGCGTTACTTGGTGGAAACAGATTAGGAACAACTCGTAGAGGCAAATCCTGACATATATGTTTACTTAGTTCTAAGGATCGAGTCGTAACAGAGAAACGAAATAAGAAAGGGTGGATGTGCATGTGTGCGTGGCTGCGTGCATGTATTTTTATGCTTGTGTCCGTGCGTGCGTGTATGTATGTTTTTGCTTGTGTTCGTGCGCGCGTATGTGTGAGTGTGTTTGTGTGCTTGCATTTATGCTTGTGCGTGTGTTCGTGCGCGCGTGTGCGTGCCTGTGTGTGCGTGTGCGTGCCTGTGCGTGCGTGTGCGTGCTTGTGCGTGCCTGTATGCGTGTGCTAGTGTGCGTGTGTGCGTGCATGTATGTTTACGCTTGTGTTCGTGCACGTCGGTGCGTACGTAGCGAGCGGTAAGTACAGCCACGAGGGGGTAAATCAAACGTCTGTGTGCGACCGAACAAGCGGAGCGTTTACTCGTAGGTGAAAGCTGTTCTGTATTATACTGTTACTCCTAGCCTTGGCGCGATGGCCGTGGACTAATTTTGCCCTCGCTGTACGTTGAGTGAGTGAATAACTGCTGTCTACTTATTCCTGCAGTGTTTGAGTTGCATAATGAACATGGGTACAGCCTTATCCGGTTGTGATTTATGTGATAATATTGTGTGAAAATGTGATAATATTTTTCCTGCTGATATGTTACCTCACGGTTGGAATCATATGCGGAACTTTTTACGCAGTAGCTGTTTTCTAATGTGTATCTTCTCACACTTGCCTATCCTCTTGCTTCCTGTTCCAGTAAGAAATCGGCCAAAGATGTTGTCCTGCTTCCTAAATTATCCCCACATGACCTCGACCATCTTTTGCTTTCCATCCCCTAACAACTAAATTGGGATTTTTCTCAAATTACGGTTGCCCTTCCTTGTAAGTGTGTCGTAAATTCCCCCGCCCCAGACCTCTCACTTACTGCGTCCATACATGTATGCTTCAGACATCTCACCCAGGAGGATGCCGTCAGTTCTCTACTCAGCGAGCGAATCACTGCAGCTGCTGAATGTTCCTGTGTCCCTACATGAAAAAACTCCGAAGACGGCACTCACGCACTCGCGCGCGTACGCACACACGCACGTACAGATGCAGGCATATGCCTGTAACCCCCTCTCTCTTTCTTGCGGTTACATACTCCGTTCTCCCCTCTCCCTCTCTCGCTCTGTATTCCCCTCTCTCGCTCTGTATTCCCCTCTCTCTTGGGTGTGTGTGTGTCTCTCTCTCTTCCCCTCTGTTTAATTGTCTCGCCCAGTTTAAGCCGAGTGAATTTTCTCCCGGGCTTCCACACAATGATTGGTAGAACACATGAGTCTATTATCACGGTAATGACCTCATAATTCCCGTCATTAAATACAACCCACCTAGAAAAGACACTCACGATAGCTAAAAGGAATTCAGTGACTAGCCACCTCTCCTTCTCCTTCCCCTCCCACATTGTTTGTATGTAGTTTGATTTGTTGACAGCCGCATATCGTATAAATCAGTGAGTCCGGATGTGGTGTATCATGCTCAAACGCATTTATTACCATACTCTGTGTGTGTGTGTGTGTGTGTGTGTGTGCGTGCGTGCGTGCGTGCGTGCGTGCGTGCGTGCGCGTGTGCGTGCGTGCGTGCGTGTGTGTGTGTGCGTTTGCGTGCGTGCGTGCGTGCGTGTGTGTGTGTGTGTGTGTTGGCTGTACGGTACAATCGGTGGCGCAGCGTTGATATGAGACATCGGGATGCGTCATTAAACCATCGCAGTATTTGTTCATGGACCGACAGTTATAAATACCATCGATGATTGATGGATGTGGACAATTCTTGTCGCACCTGCGAACACCACGTTAGTATGTCGCACGTGTGTGTATGCGTACGTGCGTTCGTGCGTGTGTATGTTTGTGTGTGCGCGCGTGCGTGCATGCGTGCGTGCAAGTGTTGCTATATGCAAACTAGCAAATACACGGCATTGCTCAGAAGGGGCGGGAAATAAAAAATGGTCTTATAGTTTAATTCGACAAGAGATGGTTTGTAAGTGATAGCGCAGTTGTATGAAATGCGTGGACACACCCACGCACACATGCACTCAGCCACTCAGCCACTAACACACGTGCACACACGCACGCAGTACGCACGTACACGCACGCGCGCGCACACACACACACACACACACACGCACACGCACACGCACACGCACACACACACGCGCGCGCACGCACACACACACACACACACGCACACACACACACACACTACGTAAATGTCAACATAAGCGTTGCAGTTATATTGTACCATTGTCATCAGAATTTACGGCGTCAAATGATAGCATGTAAGTACATAAATGCTAAACCGTGTTGAACAGTAGATGTACGCCTCAGAAAAAAATGGGGTCGTAGTGATGCCTGGCCCAATTACGTTGTTTACAATGAGCGGGTTTAATATAGAAGTAATGAGTTGTTATATCGATGTGTGCGAAACATGCAAATTTGTACGTGTGACCTAGTATTCGCTAAATTTGGATGCGAATCGGCTTTCTGCCTTCCTCGCTAGCGATACCTATTGCTCGTGGCTAAACGCTTGCCCTAGAAGCCGAATATTTTGACGATGCGCCATGCGAATGAAAAAAGTGAAATTGTCGTGCATTCGCGCACATGAGTCACGCTCGTACAGGCAGCATGCGCGGTCGGTGATGATGTAAGGCATTCCTCTGCGAACGCGGGCGCAATGAGATAAAATCGTCTTAACGCTGTTATATAACTAGTAGTAGGCCGCGAATCGAGAGCGAGATTGAAACGATCGGCGAAAGGTGGATCTCGTTTCGCGCGCAGCGAGCAGCTGTGTGTGTGTGTGGGAGAGAGAGAGAATGAACGCGTCGCAGAAGAAACAGGAGGAATGAACGCAGATGGATAGCCGTCGCACGCCTGATTTAAACCAGCGACGGAATCAATCAGTAAAAAGGAGGAGCAGGGTGGAGATGAGATACGGAGGAGGTCGGCGATCGATAAAAACGCGCGAAATTCACAATTTACTCGCGGACCGATTCTAAATGTCTCTGCCGCCGATGCCCATAAATCGTGGGCGTGGTGAGAATGTTCCCAGAATTACGGTATCATCGGTAGTGTCGTAATATAGACTATATTATGACACTCACTGCTGATATCATGCTGTGACGTTGCGTATGACATGATGTTATCAGGAGTGCCATAATATAGTCTATATCAGGAGTGAATAGTATTACTATTAGATATATAATAATCTATTATTATTCACTCCTGACTATATTAATCTATGTAGACTATAATAGTCTATATTATGACACTCCTGATGTGATGTCACATTTTGATTATATTATGCATATTCGTGTTATATTTTCGTGATAAGTTGACTCAATGAGGTTGACTGCCCTATTATAGTTGACTCTCAACGAATTACGGAATGAGTCTTATTCACTTGCCTAGGTGGGTGTGTGTGTGTGTGTGTGTGCTCAAGGTCATATTTCGGTGGGATTTACCACGGACGGTGCGCTGTGCGTGTATCTAGTAGGCGTGTCGCTGTTCTCACATCTATGCTCGCTGTGGAAGAGGATGTAGTTTAGTGGTTCTGGGCGACAGATGGATTTAACTATATAGGTTGCATGTCTGCGAAATCGCTGCGCTGTCGGTGAATTCAACTCGAAATCCGATCATATACACAACAACAGGATACACTAATATCAGGAGTGAATAATAATAGATGATTATTATTCACTCCTGATAATATATATATAATAACGACAATAACAGGTTGCACCTATATTTATATATATATCATGACAATAACGCAACATTACCGGCTAATTATTACGATGTGACTACCTACTCGTTGCGCAACGACGAAAGAGTACACCTACATTCATATATCATATATATATATATGCACACACAACAACAACATACAAGAATGGTACACTATGTTGCACCTATATATGAATATAGGTGCAACCTTTTGTCGTTGCGCAACGAGTAGGTAGTCACATCGTAATGATTAGTAATGTTGCGTCAGTTATGTAAGCTCTATCTATATCTGCAATTACTCGGTAAAGGAGCGGCTGCATGGATCAAAATGTGACGTATGGTCACTGTCGCAGGAATGCAAATATTATGCCGCTAGATAGGCCTTTGTTTATCCACATATTTGCGTGTATTTGTGTGGTTTCAACTTTCAAGGTTCAGAGTAGAATCCCATTACAGTGGGGAGCCTGTTATCGCTATATGCATGTACGAATCACAGTGGGATGAGCTCAGGACATTCTTCTATTATTTTTATTGTTCAGCGAAACGCCCCCCTCCCCTCCTGGCAGGCACATCCAGAGAAGATGCGTTAAATTGGTGCGAAGTCATCGTGTGGTTAAACCCTCTTCGTCTTAGACCGACACCCCTGACTGGGAGCTGCGTCATTCCTGCTCCAAATATTCGGCTACGTCGTGGTATTATGCTCACCTCTTCTCTCCCTGAAAGTGTCATCTGCGGAGACTAATGGGATTTGCCCAGTTCGATTCGTGAAATGTGCTGCATCGCTCGACAAACACGTCGACATATGGTGTTATTCTGTAGAATCGGCGGTCGGTCGTCATTTGTATTTGACGAAGCAAGTCGGAAATAACGTCAAATAAAACGTGAGATTTCGCCTCGTTTCTGGAAAAGCTGTTTTCGAGGCGGCGTTGTCGAATCGGTCGTTTCAAATTGCTGGCGTTGCTTTAGAGTGGCGCCCGGTCGTTTGAGTAGAGTAGCCGCCATCCCCTGTAACTCTGCTGGGTCAGTCTAGGAGCGAA